TTGTAGGCATCACGTAGATCCAAGATACTGAACTGCTGCCCTCCACGAAGCGTAGCGAAAATGTCGTCCACTACGGGTAGAGGATAACTTTCCATTTCACATACTGGGTTTAGAGTAACTTTGAAATCGCCACAGATGCGGACTGTTCCGTCACGTTTCAGCACTGGCACCACCGGGGTTGCCCATTCTGAATAGGAAACTGGCGTAATAATCTTCGGCCACGAGTCGATCTAGCTCGGCGGACACTTTGTCTAGCAAAGAAAATGGAATTTTTCTTGCCTTACAGAACCTTGGGGTTGCTCCGTCCTTTATATGAAGCCGTGCTGGTGGTCCCTTGATGGCTCCCAGGCCCTCCGCAAAAAGGTCTGCGTACTGTTCCAGCACGGGTGCCGCTGTCCGACTCTCCAGCTTCCCGTCCGATGAGAGTGACGCGATGTGAAGAAGCGGTGCCCCTTGTGTCTCGAGCATCTGTAACAGGTCACGGCCGCAAAGGCTAGGACCTTCGCAGTCTAACACAACGAGATCGCAGTCAACTGTTGCAGACTTGTAGGAAGCTTGCATTTTGACAATGCCCCGCACTGGTATCTTCCCAAGATAGCATGACAGAGTTAATGCAGCTTTACAAAGCGGTGGCCACTTATGACGATAGGCTTCGTATATCGCTTTAGGCACTACGCAGACAGGTGAACCTGTGTCGATTATCATATTCAGTGGCACTCCGTTCCATGTAACCTGCTTGTGTAGGGGCGGAACCAGGCTTCCATTACCCTTCACTGACCATATTTGTAGTGCGTTACAATCGTTATCTTCACTTTCCGCTGAACACTCTGTTATCGCGAAGGTTCTGTTGGTGGTGGCTGTCCGGGAGCATACTCGCGCCAAGTGACCTTGTCGCCCACATTTGTAGCACCTGCGCCGTCGTAATGAGCATTCCCTGGCTTGATGTCCCTGTTTGCCACAGCAGCTGCAGTGCTGCGATAAGCTGCTCCGTTCGCTCCTGCTGATTTCGGGTTGCCTGCTACGCTGCACGTTGAAACACCCCAACGGCGTCACCTTGCCCGGTCATCTGTTGCGACCCTAACTCCGCGCTTTCGGCTGCTAGAGCTAGTGCTTCCGCTTCTGCCAGCGTCAAGTCCTTTTTGGCTAATAGTTGTTTCTGCAGGTTTTTTCGAGCGCACTCCACAAACGATGCGGTCCCTCAGCATTCGCTCCAACATTGAAGAGAAGTTGCAGTTATGCGCTGGCTTGCGAATCTCGACGATAAACGCCTGCACGGACTCCCCTTCTTGTTGGTTTCGGTGAAAGAACTTGAAGCTTTCTGATATCTCGTTAGGGGACGGATCATAGTGCTCGTTCAAGGTTGAAACAACTTCTTCGTAACTCAGCGAGCTTGGTTTTCGCGGTGCGATTCTGCCGCAAAGGATTTCAACGGTCCTCGATCCTAACGCAGCCACCAACAAGGCCCTTTTCTTCGCGTCGTCCGTAACTTCGCTCGCTTCGAAGTAGGCGTCAATCTTAACGAGATACGCTTGCCACTTATCTGTCTCCTCTGCAAAATCCGGAAGCTTGAGGGCCATGGCTGCGGGCGGGCTGATGGGCGTCTTCGTCTTGGTCTCGCCGCTGGCGCCCGGCTTACACGTATCGGTGGGTATTCTCGTCTCCACTGTTAGTTGGGAGGCGGCCACGCCGCTCCAGCAGTAAACGTGACAGTCGGACCATGCCAACAGAAAAGAACAGCCAGTTTTATTCACACTCGTGAATATATATAGGAAAGTAAGGGGGAGAGGGAAGGGGGATAAGATTGTGCACATGCGCACTTGAGAGCTTGGGTCGCGTCGTTCAATGGGTTACAGCATTCTTATTTTGAGGAAAACGTAAACAAAGATTTCAGAGCGGCACCAGGTGTCAGAAATTTTGCACAGAGTCTTAAAATGTGCCAGATTCATAGAGGGTTCCTTCTTTAATAGCATTATGGTCTCCTTCTCCTCGTGTGGCTGCTCTTCTTTTTTTTTCTGGCCTCTTTCGTCCCATCTGCTGACTAGCATTTGGCATTCTGCATGCGCTTGTGATCTCTGGCGATGCAAGCTTTCGTCGTGCAGCACCTTGATTCTATGCCAGCTTGCCTCAGTATGTCTAGGGTGCTTACACTGCCATTATTGAAGTGTGCCACAGCATTATGCAAAGCAAACATTACTGTAGGCATGCTTACGTAGACCTCTTTATGAGCCCACTGCCATATCAGACCATTAAAGTACTCATTTGCATTTTTTGTCTTTCCATGCAAGCATTTCATCAGAAGTTTATTCGAGCACAAACTGCAGTACACAGTTCTGACTTTGTTGAGCACGTCATTCGTTTGTTGAGCACATCATTCGGAAGTCCTCTTTTGTGCACATACTTTTCTTGGCGGAGTGCTTCGATCCCTCTGTACCCATACCAGCTGATCGATCGAAGTGGGCACAGACTATGTCTTGGATGCTTGTCGGTAGAGCTGCAATTATGTCAATCCCATAGTAGTTTTGCAGGCGGTCAATGAGGGCATCAGTGAGCTTTCTCTTTCCCCCGAGACCAGGCACTGCCTTCTTCAGTTTTCTGAGGCGGCAGCCAGCACTTCTGGACATGCCCAATGCATTCCAGTTTCTGTACACTGTCCTTTCCATACATGTCTTTCACAGTGGCATAGCTCTTGGAATCACCATCACCGTAGTATTTCAGGTACACTCTACAGAAGAGGCCTGTTACCCTGTTCGTCTTAAGCAGATTTTTTTCGCACCGAGTTTATGGGAAACCAAACAAACATTCTTGTGCTGTTTGCCTTAAGCAACGATTCGTCTTATCAGAGTTCCTCTTTATGGGAGTTTACTGTAGAGGCGCAAAGCCATTTTTTCCTCGCCTCATGCAAGCCGTGCCAACAGTGTGGCATCCTTTTCGACCCTCAGTGGCGAGCGCCACGGTGCGGAGGCAGAGTGGGCCATCTCCACCTCTGAAATTACGTTCTCTCTGTGCAATTGAGACGGCCGGAGAGAAACCCACTGGCGCATCATCTTGGAGGCCATGGCTGCATTTAGGTTTTACAGCCGCTGAGTGGGAGGTGGCGCTAGTCTCGCGTGAGTTAGTTGGCATCGGCACTGCTGCTGGCAGTGGAGGGTCTAGGCTGACACATAGAAAGGAAAAGCGAGGCTCTTTGTTGTATGGCGGTGATTGTAGATAGACATCTCCTACGGGTCGGGGGTGGGGGGTGGTGGCATTTATGGTTTTTTGTATTGTGGTATGAATATTGTATCAGGTTGTTTATCGTGTCACTAGTGACATATTTGATTCAGCTGGCAATATCGTCGTTTAAGCAAGTGAATAAATGTAGATGTGTTTTGGTTTGCCAGTCTGTGTCTGCTTTGTCCGTGTGTTGCAGCGCTTTTTCAGACCCCACAACTCGTAATAATAGAAGTGTTCAGTTGTGGCATTGAGTTCTATTGAGTTCTGTTTCTGAAAACATTTTTTCTGTGCAGTATTTCAAAAAAGATTTATATCAGTAAAAAAATATTATATTGAAGGCGTGGAGATAGACTTAATTTGTTTATTTCTCACACAAAGAAGTCTACAACCCTTGTGAATGTTCATAGCACATGCACAATCTTGTTACTGTGCATTACAAATTTGATTTCATGCCATTGTGCAAGTCGCACATGCAGTTTATGCAGAAAAAATATGTCCATTCATGGGTTTTATTGACTGCATTGGATTGATTGCTTGAATTTGGACTGAACATTGACCTTCAAAAAATCATGATTGCTTGACCTTGAGTGAAAAACAAAACGAGAAGCGTGCTTGTAAAGACAAAGTTCAGCATACTGAACATATTTGAGGCAAAAGCTATGAGGCAGAAGCACAGTAGGAAGAGAATGACGTGATTGAATGAAAATTAAACCAACCTTTGATCTCAGTAGTGATGCACTTAGGGAGTATGATATCAGCAAACTTGCAATGTGTGGTTCCACTGCACATATACTTCTCTCGCTTGTCACTAGTGCTATGGCATGCGGAGAAGCGAAAAGGAACACATTCCTAAGGCTTAAAATTTATATTCCGGCCACTAACAATGCAATAGTTTGTGGGTGAAGTTACCAAGCTAATACGCAAGCCTGGATATCGCTTCATTGTATAATTTATATTTAAAAGCATTAGTGACTGGAACCCTCATTTGGCCCCATGCTGCTTCATTACCAGTGTATCATTCAGTACTCGTATAAGGATGAGTAAAAGTTGCAAGAGAAATACAAACAAGTGTTCCTAAAACTAATAAATATTGCAGGAAGCAAGGTTGCGTTAATGTTCATGTACCCTTGTAAAAATCATGCACAGACACAAAGGCCATATGCTTATAGTGCGGCATTCTCTGGTGATTGCTTGCAGGGATACTTTCACTTCCTCAATATTTCCTGAGCTTAAAGCCAGCACATTGGCATTTATGAGCGTCATTTCTGGCACGCTGACTTTAAACAGTTGGTAGCACGGTGCCAGACCGCTCTGGGTCATAGATGTCAAGCACGCCTGGTGCGAATTTTGTGAAATCTTGCAAAAATGAACCTACCTCTGAAAGTTATCACCCAAAAATACCACCCCATTTAATTTTTCAAGATGCGGACTCTTGCATGCGTACTCTAGCCGTGGAAGAGGTTTTAGAAAACATGCATGCCTAATTTATGTGTGCGTGTAACATGATTAGCAGACAATGCAAGGAGGTATCTACACCAAGTAAGTATAGTGGTGCCTCATCTACCATGTGGCAGTCGCTTACTTAAGGCTGTATTACTAGGCCATTCATTTAGGTGGTGAAGTCCACTGGTTGTTACGATGTTTCTCATTGTTACAGCAAGGAATTAACTTTCGTGTTTTCTGTGCTTCAAGATATGTCTTCGAACTTTACGAATCCTCATGAATTTCAGTCTGCTGTTTGGCATTGCACTAATCGGTTCGAATTCTGATTTCTTTTTATACTACAGGCACACCTAAGTCACAGCGTCTTCCAGCAGTCACTTTTTGCATGCTGCTTGGAGATTGTGATGTTCTGCTACAACTCACAACGGTAATTGTTTCCTTCATTCATTTGTTAATGTATTCAAATGTCATTAATCTTTTTTCAGATAATTTGATCTCAACTGATGGCCCTTGTTAGCACCCTTATATTTCTGTAGCACCAAAAATGTATGAGTGCTGTGCTAGCACCAGTACATGTTGATATTTTGATTTCATTGTTCTGATCCAGAAATTAGTCTTCATCAGATATTTAAAGCTAGGCTGGTCGTCACTTTACATGTAGTATACCCTAATGCCTGGGTGGTGTCACGGTGCACTGCATTCACCCTAGCAGGTTACACTTAGGAAATAAAGGTGAAGCGAGTGATCTCTGTTGCATATGTACCTACACACATTTTATAAGTTTTCAAAGCCCTCATGTTACGCATATTGTAGTGCAGGGGCTTATCTATGGACCTTTTTAGGGGAAAGGAGGATCCCCTCCTTTTTGAGCTGTTGCACAGGAGCACATAATCCCACGTAACAGCCTCCGCAGCACATATGTAATTCTAGTAGTTATTTCCACTACTACTGGAGCACAAAATCTCACATTACAGCCTCCGTAGCACATATGTAATTCCAGTAGTTATTTCCACTACTAAAATGATTATTTGGAAAAATTTACACAGCTTGAAGCATCAGGCAAAGCTGCATGAAATAACAAATGAGAAGTGTATGGTGAGGAGATGTCGCGTGGCCTGATGTCACGGACATGTAGAATTTTAAGGCTGTCGCAGGAAAGCGAGTAGCAGTAGGTTAACTTTATCTCGTGGGATGTATATAAATACGCGCTTGTGTGTGCATATTTATTTTCTTAAACATGGTAAAACTTCTCTAGCATAGCGATTGTAAAAGTTGTGTTCGTAATTGTGTGGCAGGAGACTGCTCCAAAAGGCTAACTTGCCGCTCCAAAGTGAGGTTTTAGCTGCTCCAGAAGCTTTGCCAAAATGGGTTCTGTCCATTCTGCAGGGTTTTTCAGCTAGTATGAGCAAATGTCTTCAAAATTGTACAAATGTAATTTAGCGAACCTTCTTTAATTGTACCTTAGACTGGCAGAATAGACTGAATCATATATGAAGTAAAAAAAAGTACTGGGGATTTTAATAAAAATTTCAAAATGCTCTGCTACTTCATTTCAATCACATATTTGTACATTTCTAATGCACCTGAATATGATGCAAGTTTTTATGGCCACGGTAGAAAATAATGTGCACTTAAATTAATGAGCACGTGACTAAAAACAGAAAGCATGTAGCATGCCTTTGATACTGTCAGTCAGAATTAGTGAGGTGAAATTTTCAACTACTCTGTTGACATGTAATATGCATTGTCATTGTATCAGGCAACTTTTCAAGTTTTTTTGCTATCTGGATCATAAGAAGTTACCCTTCTTGTTGCCCATATTGGTTTAAATTCTTCATTGTTTGAATTCTGATATAATTGGGATCAGGGTAGCATTTAAAGGAGCACTGACATCGAACTTCAAAATCGAGATGTGCCCTTCATTCGACCGCTTGGTATACGTAGCCCTTTTTGACCAAATTTGAACGGCATCCGTCGCATTGAAGTTATTTTAATTCTATGTCAAACAGCGTAGAAAAGCTAAGGAGAAAAAACGAAAAATAGACTGCCCTGCGAAATCGACACTAGTGCTACGTGTTCGGTGGGATACATTCCACAAATACCATCCTGAGTGACGATGCCCTAGCAGCGATGAAGAGTACGATCTGAGTGTTCTTATCGTGGCGCCGAAGTATAAAAACGCACTCGCTCGTCGCTTCTAATCTTCCTCGCACCGGTTTGAATGATTTTGCGAAATTATGAAGGTAAAAACCACCTTTAGAAGAACAGTGAAAGAAAAGAGCATGAATAAACGTGTGCTTGTCGGTCACCATGTCGGGGAATCGTTGTGAGTTGCAATCGTTTAGTTCGAAGCACAAAAGCGCAATGAGGGTGTTTTTTCATATCACGTATGTGTTACATGTCAACACGACCTCGAGCTATCAAAAGTGGAACAGCGTATAGTCAGATATCATCGCTAACAAGTAACACGCAGGTATCTTTAAATTTTAGTTTATCTGTAGACTTTGCGTTTAAGTAAAAATGGTAATACTGTGTTAACTGCGAGAGGCTGGATAGGTGGGGCCATTTGGAGGTGCAAAAAAGAACCTCGCAAGCAGGAAACGTATTCTATTTCTCCGCTGATGCTCATTCGCGATAGCTATATTTCAGTGACCCCTCTGCGTATACCTGAATGCTTTGCACGCCAAAACACACCAATATACCCAACTGAGACACACGAGCGAACATGGCTGGGGCGTGCATCCTCGGGCACCTCTGCAGTGCTGCTTGGAACGGCGTCCATTCCAGAATTACTGTTCTGCAAAAGGTCGATCGAAGCAAAAATAATTTGCGACGTCGCGAATCGTGGGGATTGAAAGCTCTAGACTATCGTATTGAACCCGAGTCGACACTTCGTACAGCGACGACAGCAATTCAGGTGACAAGGCATGACTGAATGTGTTCGCCTAGCAGATGAAATGTTTACGGTGCACCTGAGCCTCACATCACTCTTTTCTGTGAAAAAGTGGTCAGCTGTGGCGTGATCTGGAGGTGACCGTGAGGTAGCGCCACTGCTAGTGCTCCCAGTGCTAAAACTGGCGGGATTTGCAACCGTTTTTAATAGTGCTAAATATCAGTGATATAAATCAATAAAAGTGATAGTTATTCATCCCTCAGTTGTGTTTTAGGTCAAGTTCGCTGCTACAGGGTCTATAGCTACTCGTTGACGCAAAAATCTTGGTATGAGTAAATTTGATGTCAGTGCTCCTTTAATGTAGTGAGGCAAGTGAGTCTCTGGAGTGTTAAAAACATGCTGTGTTACTGTGTCAGATGCACGCAGGCTCACTCACACTCACTCAGGTTAAGACCTTAGTGGGAGTGAGTCCAAGTGACCCTTTACTGCTTAGTGTCGCAAATTTGTGACATAAAGTACCAAAAGACTTCGAGCAAGCAAGTTATGGAATGCGTGCCACTTTTAAGGTGGGACACGGGTTGTGCGAGACTGAAAAATCGCAAAAAAAAACTTTTTTATTGCGTTTTTGAAATATACAGCTACTAGTGCACTCATATCGTGAATTTCATGCCTATAATATCATTATTTTAGCAGCTAAGACCCTTTATACGGCGCTTTCTAGCTAAATCTGAGCTGAAATCGACGTTGAAATCGCTCATTTTCTGTGATGCGCCCCTGCCCTTCATGTGTGCCAGCGCGGCCCGCTTGGTCTCATTTGAGAGAGCCGTCTTTCGCCTTCAAATTCCCGCCAAAATGGGTCCAATTCAACCATTGGCAGCTTGTAAAATGAGCGGCAAAAAGAAGTATCAGAGTGCCTTCTTATTCGCTACTTCGCGCACGGGACTTGAGCTTGCCTCTCTATTGGTGGAGGCTCCTGGCTTCGTCTGCTCCGGGTATTGAGGCGCGCGTCCATGCGCGCCATTTTGCCTCAGTTCCAGCGGAGAAGTTTCACGATGTCAAATCCTGAGCGCAAATTTCGCACGCGGCACAAGTTTGGTGCGAAAAAGTTGCGAAGGACGCTAGTAGCAGATTTCAAGAAGTGCTCCGTGATACAGCAAAACCCCCGAGACACTACACTTTCCGCGTCCCATGGCGAAGTCGTCGACACTACCACGGAAGGCCTAGCTTACCGCATCAGTTGTCACGGAGCCTGTGCAAAGTCCGTCAGCCGCGGAGCTTTCAAGCAGCGGTCGCGTGCGTCCAGATACTATCCATCGGCAGCAATCTGACTTGGAAGAGGAGAGAGCTGAAGCCGAAGATAAGTTATCGGAGTTGTTGTCCGCTGCAGCGACGGAGCGGAAAATTCATGGTTGACGGTGCCGACGAAGCAGCTCGGCCGCCTGATGGAACCAGATTCACAATTATAGATTTGGACACTGTGAACAGCGCTTTGTTGGCATTTGCAAAGGCATGCAACAGAGAACTGCAGATTGTCCGCGACGATCGCAAATTTAGACTCGCCGTGAAGTTGCGTTTTGTGTGTTCGACTTGTAGGGAGACTGGGTCGTTGTGGAGCTCGCCGCGCGTATGTAGCGATGAACGCATGAAACCTTTTGCTGCAAACGTTTTGGCCGCACATGCCATGCAGGCAACGGGGAACAGACAAACCGCGCTGAATCATGTGTTCTCGTTGATGGGCATCAGCCGTTGGGGTCTTCACACAAAAACGTGGCAACACTACGTGAAGATGAAGTTGGCACCCGCGGCCGATCGTGCTGCACGCAATTTGACGAGCGACTGCGCGCGGTCGGTTCGCGACCTTTACGCCGAACTTAATATAGGCCACATGGGAAACATCACAGTGTCGTTTGATGGGTCATAGATGACTCTCGGTCATTCGTCACATATCGGTCTCGGCACCGTCATAGAAATTGTTCAGTGGGCTGGTGCTTGACTTCATTGTTTTGAGCAACTTTTGTGCTGGATGCTAGCCGGGTCCAAAGGAAGGTGACCCTTCTTATGCAGCATAGAAAGAACATCACCAGTGTCAGAAAAACACTGACAAGGCTGGGGAAATGAAGGTTGAGGCTGCCCTCATCCTCATCAGGAGGTCACTTGAGCAGCACAACATGCGCTACACCATGGTGCTTTGCGACGGGAACAGCCGCATTTACCTTGCGCTACAAGAAGATAAGGCTTATCTACAAGAAGATAAGGAAAAAGAGGACTGCATTAATCATGTCCAAAAGCGTATGGCCACTGCTTTGCGCAACTTGATTGCAAAACGCAAAGGCCCTGGCCTTAGAGTCTTGGGGGAAAGGGCCGCTTGACAGGAGACTTGATCTCCAAGCTCACCAATTATTATGGGTGGGCTCTGAAGACGCACAGTGGTGAAGTTGATGCTATGCACACAGCAGTGATGGCCACTTATCATCACATCACGTCCAATGATGATGTGGCAAACCACACTCTGTGCCCACCTGGTCCAAATTCCTGGTGCAAACAAAATGCGGCAAAGGCCAAGGGGGAGCCCATTCCCAAACATCGTCCAAAGCTGCTTCCACATGTCTGCCAAGCCTTACTTCCCATATATGAGCGCTTGTCAAACAGAAAGCTGTTGCAATGATGCCAGCGAGGGAAAACCCAAAATAACAACGAAAGCCTGCATTCAATGATCTGGACGCTGGCACCAAAGGAGCGACATGCTTCGCTATTCACGGTGTAGGCAGCTGTGGCAGAAGCAGTGCTCAAGTTCAATGCAGGCAATAAAAAGGCATCAGAAGAGCTGTGCCCTAACCCCAGCTGGCAAAGCCGCAGCCGCATGGCTGAAAAGGATCGACAGCGCACGGCAGCATCAGTCAAGAAGCCACAAGCAATGGAGAACATGCACCAGTCCCTGAAAAAGCGCCACACAGGGACTCATAGTCAAAAGGACTACATGCCCGGTGCATACTGAGCATTTTCAAGTACAGTTATGTAAATGAATGAGTTTTCTTTTTCTCAGTTTTCTGAAAACATGCTTTTTGGTGACTTTACTAAATTGTCGGGTTGATATCTTGCAATCTAGAACAGCTAGAGCAATAATTTTTTAGAAACGTAAAGCCCAATCTGTGTATTACAAAGTGCTGAGAGCAGAATTTCCATTTGCTGCCCATATAAATTTAAAAGGTATTAAATTTCTTTGTATGTGATAGCCATGACATGACTCCTCAACTTTCATCATCTGCAGAATCATTAGTTTTTTTTTAATTTGAAATCTGCTTGTAGCATTGCACTTATTGCTAATTGCACTGTCTAGCTATGCAATAATATTTACTTTTTGATAAGTACTTTCTTTTCTATTGTCTCCGAAAACAATATAGTGGCAGCATTGTGTATCTTCTAAATTAATTGACCTACAATGAAAATTTTTGCGTATTGGAAATCAGCAGGAGAAACTACATAAGCATGTATATTTTCATTATGTTTGGTCCACAAATACAGAAAATATCCCCACACACCATGTCCCCTCTTAAAGGGACAGTAATGTCAACTATTAAGTCGAGGTTGATTGTGGGAAGGGTGGTCCAGAAACCTCATAGTGTTACTTTTGTGCCAAGAAAAGGCCTATTTTGAAATAAAATCACGTTTTAGTGCTCCGCATCGGGTTAGCGCACTTCAAACTAGTGATATGAGTGAGGTAAAAAGAGCTCTAACTCAGTGACAACTTTTCTTGACAGCACCGTCGAAGCAACAGAACCAAAATGCATGCCTGCTACTGCACAAAAAGTAGTACTTAAACATATCGATAATATCTAATTTGCCTAGCTGAAATAAATACTGCTTTATTTATTATGAAACTCAAAAGGTTGCAAGAAGTCGTAGGTAAGATACAGGTGTTGTTCACTTTGCAGAATGCCTTCCGTTTCTTTTTATTTCTTAGACCAGCACCACCATTTCAGCAAGCCCTTTTCCAAGTTAAGCATGGCATCCATGGCCTAAGAGTATGTGGAGAGTGGCGTAGGGTCACTGTGCGGACGCAAACGTCCGAAAACATACTTGTAATGTCGCAGTGAGGCTTACAATGAACAATCGAATTGCCTCTCACCAAACATTTCTCTAAATGCTTCAAAGATGCAAGGAACCAAATCAAAATAGGCCACAAGCTGCCGCATTACTTGCAGGGACAATAGCTTCAGCATGAAAAATCTAGTGCCATCTCGCCTGACGTATTTTATACTAAAACCAATTGTTCTATAGATGATGGTAGAGAGTGCGAAATGGGTGCTACAGCTCTCACTTTCTCGTTCGTTCTCATCTATGCTATGCACGAAACCGTGTGTTTCTAGTCTACCAAAGTGATCTTCAAGAGCCACTACGCAGCTTCGAAAGTGTGCTGCCATCACAGTGGCAGATTAAAGGCAGTAAAGTCCTGAAGGGCACAAAACGTTTTGGGGGGGAGTTCATTCGATGGAAATAAATGTTTTATGCGTATATCGCTGTTAGAAAATGAATTTCGCGACTGTTTTGGTGGTACAAAATTTTATGCATTATGAATATTATCCCTCCTTCTTAAGTACTTATCACCGATATTCTACTACATATACTGACAGACACGTGAGTCAATTCTTCCTCCCTATTCAGATGCATATCACCAATATTCTACTGCATACCCTCATGAGTCCACTCCCTCAGACTCAGGCCAAGCCGTCGGTCCGAATCCGAGTGTTTTCGAGTTAGCAACATTGTGGTAAGATTGAGTCCTAGTGATTCTTGTTGAGAAAAATATTAGCAAGTCTTAGTCCGAGTAAGTGCATTTCAGGACAATTTTGATGTGTCTGAGTCCAAGTGAGCCCTAGAAGCAAAATATGTTTCATGCGGTAGTCTGAATGAGCTCCACATTTTTTTACGACCTATGCATAAGAGTAACGAAACATTGGCCTGTGTAATTTTGTGTGTCTGCTGGAACTTCTGTGGTGAACTTAATTAACCTGAATCTAATTAAAAAGTTTACTGCACACGCACACAGTGCTTTTTAGTGATCAACTGCCTTTCATCATCAAAGATACTTTTGGGTACATCTTGTTTTTAATTATAGAATAACGGTGCAACTTCTCTTTTAAGTAAAGGTATCTTCCTCTTTAAAAAAATATGCCTTGATGGTACAGTGGCTACAAATCTTAGCTGCTTACCCGAAGTAAACTGTATCAATTCCAGCTGTAGCAGTCTCATCTCAATGGAGGCGGAATGCTAGAGGCCTGTGTCACTGCATCACGAATCAGTCGAACTATCTGAAGCACTTCATTAAGGGATGCCTCATAATCATATTGTGCTTTTGGGGTGTAAAACTCCAGATATTATTATTACTATTTTTTAAAGCTTGCTTACACATAAAATATTGTGTGTAGTTGTTTCAGCTCACCATTTCTATGTACTTTTTATATGCCTTGCATCTTGCATGTGAAATGCAACAAGTACGACATTACTTTAATGTGCCCACATTCTGCAACACCAAGTGTCCCATGAGTGATTTGAAAGAATGACCCGAATGCCTTAGAAATCTTTTGTACTGAACATTGTAAAGGCTGCTGAATGAGAGCATGTGTGAGCAGTGGTTTAGCCAAAGTAGCCATGTTTTAGATGCGGGGTGTGCCAGGAGATCCCTGTATTTATGGTTGTTTAATTGTAATTCTTTCACTGAATTCATGACTCATAAATTTGCATGCATCAAAAGTTACTGTATCAATTCTAAAGAATATGTGTGGCAATGCTAGTTCTTTGGAGTGCTTCCATTTACCACAGCTTTTTTATATGCTGCAGTGACTGTGACGTTGAATAAAAGCTTTGTAATTTAATGCTTTTTCTATGTTTGTGTGATTGACTATATAGAGATTTTCCATGGATTTTGGAAGTCTTCAATTTGATGCCTTACAACTTCTACAAGATCATTGAGCCTTTAATCCGGGCCGAAGAGGGCTTGTGGCGAGAAGTGGTGAAGCACCTTAATCATGTAAGATTGTTATTTTGCACTGTGCTTTAATGTGTTGCTATCCATTAGAAATAAAGCACTTTTTGGGTGGTCCAATGAATACTTTGCTCGAACTTTGAAAACCTGGAAAAGTCAGGGAATTTCTGAAAAATCTGGCCTGGTCATGGAAACTGATGGCAGTTTATGCGTTCATCACAAAAATAAACATTATCATCTATCAAAGCTTATAAAGCCACTCTTTCAACTGCAACTACAGTAAACAACAAGAAGATGCGTGAAAAAGTCAAAAGCAGTGCGTAACTGTTGCTTCTTAATGTAGGATTTTGGCACCTGCTATGGGAGCCTTGTTCACAATTATAGCCGTAAGAAATCAGTACAGATATAAGCAGACGCTGCAAATTCAGGGCGTTGACGAAGCACATATAAACATCCTGGAAGAAATCTACAGGGATCAACCGCTACCATAATGCTTCGTAAAGAAAGTAACAAAATACCAATCAAGAAGGCTGTAAGGCAGGGGGATACATTCTTGCCAAAGCTATTTACCACGTGCTTACAGGAGGTTTTCAGAGGCCTAGAGTGGGAAGAGTTAGGGAAAAGAGTTAGTGGAGAGTACCTTTATAATCTGTACCTTTAATACAAAGCTCTACATGCTAGTGAAGCAGCGTAAGCCTCTAGTCTATTTTGGCCCTAGTGTCAGCTGTCTTTTTCAATATCCTACTCAGCTTGCTTTTTGGGGTACTGTATGTAGTGGTGAGGTCAGACATCCATTCTTCATGTTTGACTGTTGGATATCACCGGCTTTGTAGAAAACAGCAGGTTGTTCCGTTTCACATCAGCCATTACATTAACAGAAGGAGTGGAAGAGCGAACGGTAATCGTGGCAACCGTTTACAGCGGCAGGTGCGATGATGAATCATGAGAGAAAGTTGGAGATCGCACATGGTAGCTTCTACTCGCTCCATATGATGCCCTCCTAATCACACCGTTCACTCTACCAAATGCATGCAGGGAAAATCCAAGTGTGTTTTTTGAAGGAAAGTCGATTTTTGGGGGCATCTTATGCTTCCCAAAGTTTGATGTATGAAGTGTTCCAGCTTTTTCTGTTCAATGTAGCTGTAGATGCTCCCATTTATTGACGTAAAGCATTGCTTTGTTAAGAAATAATTTGATATTGAGGATTATTAAATTTATCCAAGTTCAAAATAGTTGCATTTTTCTATATTAGTACCAATTGCATGAAATGGCAAAAACCGTCCCGCACAACTTTGCAGACTGTAACCAAGAAAACCTATCATCCTGCAATCTATCTGATGAGACCAGATATAACCGGTCTCATCACCCTATATAAAGATTGCCCATTATATCTCCCTCTCGCAAAGCTCCCCAAGATAAACAGATTAAGTGTGCACTTGGACGTATTGTGGTATGGAAATGTCAATGCTGTCCAGCATGTTAACTGTTAAACAAGTTTTTTTTTTTTCTTTAGCACTTACAATTTTTGTGTTTTACAGATCGAGGAGCAAATCCTGGAGTGTCTATCTTGGAAAGATGAGTCACCTCTGTGGGATGCTATTGAGCATTCTGAACAGCCCATACCTATGTGCAAAGAGGTATGTTGTTATATATCGCAAGCTAATGTAAGTTAAGCTCATTTATGATTGAACTGAGCTACTTTAATTTTACTCTCATGAAGTTTACTTGCTAGAAGGGCCCATTTATAGGTTTCTGTTGTACTGTTTTGACTAATAAAGGAATATAAGCATGAATCAATGTTGTCACTAACCAGTGCCTTAAGACAGGCTTGAAAAGCTTTTGTAATCATCTGCCCTAAAGAGTTGGTCATAATATGTGATTAGGCCCCGCCACGGTGGTCTAGTGGCTAAGGTACTCGGCTGCTGACCCGCAGGTCGCGGGATCAAATCCCGGCTGTGGCGGCTGCATTTCCGATGGAGGCGGAAATTTTGTAGGCCCGTGTACTCGGATTTGGGTGCACGTTAAAGAACCCCCGGTGGTCGAAATTTCCGGAGCCCTCCACTACGGCGTCTCTCATAATCATATAGTGGTTTTGGGACGTTAAACCCCACAAATCAATCAATAATATGTGATTAGACCTGTCTTCTATGGTAACGTTGAGTACTTATTTTGGACAGTAATGCCACAAATGCTGTTTTTGAGGACTAAGTGCTTATCCTACACCTTGCTGATTTGTCTGTATTCTTAGATAGAATTCTGTTGCACAAGCTCAACTGCAAATTCAAGTTTTTTCTTCTAGAAGGCTGGCAAAGTTTGAAAATGCAAAGTATTTGTTGCTTGTTATGTACCTGTGTTGTGTTGGCCATGTAGGTATTGCTTCAGCGGCAGATCGAGACGTTCCAGGAGGCTGATGTAAATGATATTGGTGAACCACGTACTCCTGTTGCCCATTTGCCACTGAAAGTTCTCAGAGCGGACCAGGATATCTCCCTATCAAATAGGAAGGGTAAATATCTGTGGGCGTGTTCTGAAAATTTTGCCCCTTTGTGTAAGTCTTGTGATTTTGCATGTTGTCCCTTGCCTGCTAGGGAGTCCTTATAATTACTCTTGATAATGTGTAGTTGCTTACAGCAGGAATATTGTATTGTAGTGTGTCGTTTGTTAAGTGCTGTATTTGGTCCCATGCTTTTTAACCCCCTTTCATGTTTTTTTTTCTTTCCTCATTGCTTTCAACTGAGGATGTACTTTTTTTTTTGAGCCTGCCAGCAATTGTCTCTTATTTTGAAGTCCTTGTTTCTACATTTTTGTAATGTTTGTAAGTTTTGCCATAGCAGTAATGCAGTAATTAGTGATGCAGAACATGTTAGGAGCATTTCTAGGCATATTGCATGTAATGTAATCGGCACAGCAAAATGATACATAATGTTTACAACTATTGTGCATATAATTTGTTAGTATTACAGTAAGCTGTCATTCACATCACGAAGTGATGCAGCAAGTAGCCATTGCTTGAACTGCAACTGTTGGCTGCCTCAGCTTTCCCATTTTGACCTTGCTATTGCAGTTGCATCCAAGTGCAAAATTTTTTAACATTCTGCAGAAGGGAACAGAGTGTTGTCTGGGCTTTATGTTACAAATCATTTTAATGATACAGCATCATCATATGTTGTGCTGTCACCTATAATCATTTTGTAAAACTGATAGGACAAGCTCTGTTTATTAGAAATTTGGTGCAGTTCTCCCGGGCATTATTTGTTCATAATGAAACAGTTTTTGGTAAAATCGTTCTGGCAAGCCGAAATTATTTAGAAAAAAAAATGTGAGAGGGGGTTAAAGAGAAACACTAATACACTGGCTGTCAGGTATTGTTTTTACATTGTGTTATTGTGTGACTGTTAAGCAGCATGTGTGTGTTGATTCCACATGTATGTTTAGTATAGAGAAAGAAAAAAGGGGACTATTTAATAAAGGGAACCTCACTAGCAAGTTTGTGTGAACCTTTTTATGAGGTATGCATGGCTGTTGTTACATCTTGTGAGGAACTCCCCTGCCAGCCTTCAGACCATTGTGGACGGGGCTGCATCAGCGCTGGACAGGCAGTTTGGCAGTTTGTGGCCTTGCCCGGTCTCTGTGTCTTTGACGTGGCGGCGTTTGATGCAGACGTGCCTCTTTCACCTGTGTCGGTGGCGGAGCGGTTCCAGTCTCCCGGCAGTGCAGTGCGTCGCAGGCTATTTGCACCCAACAGCACAGGAGGTGGTGCTAGCGCCCCCTTACAACAGAGTCCCCGGGTGGAGTCGGGTGCCACGGGCCAGACGCGCACCGTGTCCATCACGGTGCAGCGTGAGTGCCTCGCATTTTTCTTAAGCCCCTGTCCATATGAACCCCAAATGCAAGCTATAGTATTTGCATATGTAGCATTTTACATCGCTGGGTGTCAATGCTGTCTTGCAGCACTGGGTATTGGGGGCATCGTAGGAATAGACCTGAATGGCAGCATTATGGCTTAAAACCCATTCTCTAGCAAAATTGGGATTTTGTTGGTCTGCACTTCGAAAGCTGGTTATTTATAGCTTGTAGTTCACTTCTGATAACATGAGCAAAGTTTTTTAAATGCGAAGCATTTCTTAGCGCACTTCGACAAGTTTGACCATATCGGTCTACCTATCTAGCCGCTTACGGCTTTTAGCTCTCCTGTTTGTTAGGATAATGGGATCTATATCAAAATTGGTATGGCACAACATGACTGTATTACGAGCAGAAGTAACTAGTCATAACATGAAAATCATAACATGCATGTCGTGAATGTCATGATTTACATATCATGTTTTTGCTGCTCGTGTGGTGGTTCCGTTCACGGCATATCGCAAAACTAGTATGGTATGACATGACGGCTTAGCGAACATAAGTGACAGGCCCTCACGTGGAAATCATGACATGCGTGTCATATAAGAACATGACTACATGCCACGCTCATGATGCGCTCTCGGTCGTTTCGCTAGCTTTACATACGTGAATGGCTGCTGATACCAGCAAAGTGCAGAACAAGTTGGGGATTTATCGCATGGAGCGTGTGGAAACGATGACGCAGAACATAAGGAATGTGGCAGAATGCAGGAATACTTGTCCAGACCTCCACAATGCGTGTGTGCACTTAAAAGATGCACCACTGTACGAAAATCTTTGGCGACATGTAGCACTTGCTGCCACACGAGACTGATCATTCCTAGTTGTCTGCTGCACATCGCCTACACAGCTTACGGCGTTCCTACCGGGGTGCTTTCGTACGCACGTGTTTGTTATAAAAATGTGTTCTTGATGCCCACTCCATTCTCGATCGCATACGGGTGTGGCAATGGCGAGCTACTTTGGTTCGTGAAAGCACCGCGTCTGTGCAGCACACTTAGCTGATAAGCGCAGAAAGGCAGCATGGATGGCGTCACGCATAAGTGATTAAAAGCATGCAGTACGCCTACAATTGCAGGACATGCAGTACCAAGCAGTTAGCTGAAGATGCTTATCATAAAGCGATTAAGTTTTACTGGCGTGTTTGCCGCCATCACGCCTCCAAGCATTTCTGGTGCTTATCCGTTAGACATCACCTCACTTACCGGCCCCTTAGATACCGGCCCTTTAGAATTTTTTATCTTCTTCACTCCATAGCACTTGTGCATTGCCTATGCAAAAGTAAAAAAAAAAACCTTTTAGTGCATTGTGAAATCTATTTCATAATATTGTATGTGCTAGGGAATGGGTGGAAGCTATTGATAATGCTGCCATTTTCTTCAGGCAATCTACTTTTTGCTGTAAAGTAAAATCATGGTTAGCATGTTTCATGTGGAATTCAGCTCACGATGCCTTTTGTGCTGCCTATGCTAGAATTGAGAGATGCAAAGCAAGCTTTAACTAAAAGCAAGGAGGATGCTTTGAATGCAAGCAAGCTAATGGGAAGCTTCTGTTTACTGTTCAGGCATTAATGCTTTGCTGAGCTGATGCTGTGTAGTTGCTGAAAATAGCACTTCATTTCGCTGGCCCCTTTTCTCTCTCTCTCTCTCTTTAATACAATGTTCTATACAAGTTGTATGTCTTGTGATGTGGGTGCTGGCGAAAATGAAGCAGTGCTTTGTGAAGGCTTTAATTAATTGTTATTGTTGCTGGCATACAAAATATGTACTATGTTGCGGCTTGTAGCAAACTAATGCTCTCTTGTTTTTGTTGCACTGACATCTTGTTCTTAACAAGAAATTTGTGTTTGCCCTATTGGTTTAATTGAAATATAGTGCTGCCATTGTACTGAGCCTAATCAGTCATTCACTATGTGCTTTAACAGTGTTTGTGGTCTTAGGGCTACGAAGACTACGCAGTGGTGTAAGGATAGGAAAAATTGGAGCTCTGTAATTGCTGAGCTGGTCTCTGGTACACATTTAATGAAGACGTCTCTCTCTCTTTATTGGTGCTCTTGTGCGGTTTTAGTGCCCTTTTGACCATGAGCATTGTGTTTCAGCTTATGTTTAACTTGAGCATGCACAGGAACCACTAGACTGTGACCTTGCTTAGGTCCTTGCCTTTTAGTTCATTTTTTTTCTTTGCAAGTAATCATGGCAGCTTGTTGCGAATGCACATAATAATTGATGTTTTTTCTATGTTCCTCTATAGTAGCACAAAATATAAAATAAGGCATATTAATACAATTTCTTCATGGACAACATACATATTTTACAGCAGTATCAACGTCATTTCGTGTCAATCCTTTCAATGCTGGCATCATGTTGTTTCACGGCCCATTGCATTTCCTAGCTGAGTGATTGGTGTGCACTGATTCTTTTAAAGATAAGCTGTGCTAATCATGCTGAAAACCCTCATGTATGTGTTCTTCTTATTCATTTCACAAATTTAAAAAAAAAGGGGGCTATATCTCTAGGCAAGTGACATGGTAGGACATTTCCAAGGGACAAGGGTGAAAGGCTCGGTGTTTTCCTAAAAGGGTTCTAATGTGCCAAAGAGAAAAATAAGCTGAGCTGTATAAATATGACTTGAGAAGCTTTCTCTTGCCCCACCTATGTTCAGGAGCCAGCGTCGTCGCATTACTGTAGTCGAAGACATGCCCCGTTGACCAGCAGTGTTCAATGACTTCAATCCTGGAATGTGTGACATGAGTGGCTTTGGCCACGTCGTCCTCTTTGTGTTCTTTGAGCCTCAATGGCTGCTTCCTGCCTATTTCGCTGATGTATGTTGCGTCGCAGTCCCCGCACGGTACCTTGTAAATGATCCAGCTTTGATCGTTTGCAGGGGTGCGGTCTTCGGTCTTGGTGAACACGTTTCCCAAGGTACAATGAGGTTTGAAAATGGTTTTAATGCCCAGCAGACGAAATGCTCTTCGAACAGAGTCTGAAGCACCTTGAATGTAAGGAATGGGAATAATGGATGTTGTGTTTTCTTGCGCCACTCTCCTTGTTCCTCTTCGCATACATTTGAGGGTGTTGTTGATGAACGTCGTTGGATAATGTCTTTGTTTCAAAGCACTGACCTCGTTTTTACCTCATGTTGCCGCAAGTGTGATAAGATTAAACAGCATCGCAATGGGAAAAGAAAGTCCCCACGATGGACCATTTGTGCTCGGCTGGGTGATATGAGTAGAAGGACAAAAAACCTCCGGTATCGCACTGTTTCCGGTACGCTGTTTTTTCCACCCTGCTATGACAAGTCCTGCGGACAAGTATATCCAAAAATAGCGCGGCATTGTCCTTTATTTTATAGGTAATCAAAATTGCAGGATGTACACTGTTCAGTGCCTCATGGAAAGAGATTTGCCCTCTTCAGGATAACGAAAGTGTCGTCAACGTACCTACAGTACAGTTTCAACTGGAAAGGTAGGGGTTCCAGCGCACGTGTTTCAACATACTCCATGACTAAGTTGGCCATGGTGACAGAGACTGGAGTTCCCATAGGCACCCGCCCCGCCGCGGTGGTCTAGTGGCTAAGGTACTCGGCTGCTGACCCGCAGGGCGCGGGTTCGTATCCCGGCTGTGGCGGCTGCATTTCCGATGGAGGCGGAAATGTTGTAGGCCCGTGTGCTCAGATTTGGGTGCACGTTAAAGAACCCCAGGTGGTCTAAATTTCCGGAGCCCTCCACTACGGCGTCTCTCATAATCATATAGTGGTTTTGGGACGTTAAACCCTACATATCAATCAATCAATCCCATAGGCACCCTTCAATTTGGTGTTAACCGTGTTGTTGAAATTGAAGTGCATTTGTTTCAGGCTTAACGACAACATAATTAAGATCTTCTCTACCGACATTGGCGTACGACTTTGCAAATTTTCGTCCTCTTTTAAATGGGCCTCCGCAACCGGGGTCGTTTACAATTCACTGTGCCGGGACTGCGACTCCACATACGTCGGTGAAACAGGCAGGAGGGGGTCAACGAGGCTCAAAGAGCACGAAGGGGACATCGCCAACGCTACCCAAGCCACACATTCCAAGACCGAACTTTTCTAACACTGCTAGTCGACGGGGAATGCCTTCGACTTCAGTAATGCGACGACGCTGGCTCGGGAACAAAGGTGGGGCAAGAGAAAGCTGTTTGAGTCTTGGTTCATCCGCCATGACAAGTCGGCGTGCAACAACAGTGGCCCCCTACTGGATGTGTACAGAGACATGAGAGTCCAGAAGTAGACTGGGTGACCTTCCCTCATTTGGTGCCAGTGCATACTGAGAATGCCACCCGCATAGGTGACATAACGTCAGCGTAGTTTTTGTTATATTTTGTTCTCAGTATAAGTCTTATATTAAGCCTCGGTGTAATTTTATTCATATATATATATATATATATATATATATATATATATATATATGAGATATAACAGACAGTAATGCCAAGGAATGTACAGGTGAAGTTATTAGAACCAATGGAATGTAAATAAGAAGAAATAAGAAAGAAAAGTGGATGAAAAAATTACCAGCTGTGAGCAGCTGGTAATTTTTTCATCCACTTTTCTTTCTTCTTATTTACATTCCATTGGTTCTAATAACTTCCCCTGTACATTCCTTGGCATTACTGTCTGTTATATCTCATTAATATTGTGTTAAAACACGGAAATACGAGCCCTTAGGTATACACTTCTCTCCCTTATATATATATATATATATATATATATATATATATATATATATATATATATATATATATATATATATATTCATTTACTACAAACATCGGGATACAGCAAATGGATTCCGCGTCGCGCTCAGGTTCGTTATAAGCGGGCTCGACTGTATACACGCACACACACACACAGAGCAAAAAAATTCATTGCCCTAAGCTACAGAATAATGCAACTTT